AGGGAAAAAAAAAAAAAAAAAAAAAAAAAAACAAGGAAATAATCAAGCCAGGAGTTGGAAATACAGAGATAAGGCCAGCACGGAAGAGGGAAACAGGATGGTGCTTGAAACGGGTATGAACTGGAAAGATTTCATCTTGAGGAGACCGGGGAGCTGACCAAAGCCCAAGCAGGCAAGCCACAGGATCAAACATGTCCTTCCAAATAACTAGGTAATTGGTGGCTTGTATACTCTTGCGTCTGGGGAAACATCACTTTTTTTATGTGTGTCTGTTATAGCCACACTGTCTGATACAGTCGCCACAAGTCCCTTCTGTCTACTGAGCTCCTGCAATGGGGCTAATTCAAAATGAGACAGTGTCGGGTGGAAAATACATACTGATTGAGGAGGCACCGTACAAAATAAAAAGTGGATACTACCATAATAACTTTTACTGTGATTACATGTTGAACTGATAATACTGTGGAGATACTGGGTTATATAAAATGTTATCCAAACTCATTTGACTTGCATCTTTTTCCCTTTTTTTAATGCAGCTACTAGAAAATGTGAAGTGACACATGTGAGTTGCACTGTGCTTTTCCTGGATAGCTCTATTTAAGATACGTATTTAAGAACAAAGAGCTCTAAAAGATTTCATCCGCTGCAGGAGAAGGCAAACATGCACTGGGCAGGGGAAGGAAAGTCCGACTTGAGGGTTAGTCTGGCCAAGCATATATTCACCCAGCCCCCTCCTCAGTCATCAGTGAAGAGGAGGAGAAATTTCACACAAAGTCAGACTGTTCCAAGCCAAACAGGTGCCAAAGGGAGGCTGGAGTCTCTAAGAGGCAACCAAGCCTCAACTATCACCCGTCATACTCCCAAGCCAGGCTTAGCAAGAAGCAAGATGGTAAAAGAAGAAAACACACTAGGCGTGGTAGTGCACACCTGTAATCCCAGCACTCTAGGAGGCTGAAGCAGGAGGATTTCAGGTTCATCCCCAGCCTGCGCAAGTTAATGACCTTAGTGAGATCCTATCCCAAGATAAAAGTAAAAAGGGCTGGGGACATAGGTCAGTGCAAAGTCAATGGAATCAATCCCCAGTACTGGAAAAGAGAAAGAGAGAGAGAGAGAGAGAGAGACAAAAAACCTCTGCTGATTCTTCCATCCCAACTCCTAATAAAGTAAGGTTAGCAGATCACTGATTTCTGGAATCCCTGCTCTCCCTCTCAACGTAGACAGCTGCATGTGCCCTCCTTCCTAACAGGGGCAAGGGCAGGCTGGGCCAAACTCCAGGCCAGGTCAGGGCCCAGGGTCCCCCTGCATCCTTGCTTCTCTCCAGCCCCTAAACAGATTTCACAAACTGGTGACCTAGTGTGTTTTGGGTGTTACATTATTTTAATTTACATTATTTACTTACCTTTTTCATTTGTTTTTTGATGTACCCAGGACTTACATCCCTAACCCTGTCCCTTTTTTGCAGAAAAGAACTCATTAAGTAGTTAAATTGACCAACTCCGGCTCAAACTTTTGATCTTCCTGCCTCAGCTTCCCAGCCCCACAGCCACCTATACACCACCACACCCAGCTGTTATGTTTGTTTTTCTTTTTTTTTTTCAGCCAATGGCCATGACTTGAAATTTCAGCAGTTGTAGGTAAACGTCCAGATTCCCAAGTTCTTCTCTTCAGAAGAAAAATAGGGACTCAGAAGATCCGGCCACACAGGGCCTATGTCCTGCCATGGCAACAATCAGCTGGCGTAGAGTGGCAACTACACTCCTGAGATGGGACAAGGGAGCCCAGCCCTACTGAACATGGCACATGGGCACGTGCTCAGTCCAGACACATTCTGCAGAGACCCGGGATGTGTGACTGCCAAGCATGCTGCACACTGCAGAGCCTCTGGACGCACTGCTGAGAACACTCTTCCCTCTCCAGTCCACAGACAGCTCCTCCTCAGCCACTCTAGGGGCAAAGTTAGCACTCAGCACACTCTACTACAAGGATTCATTCCCACCTGCTCAGGGGCATCTGAGGGCAAAGACAGCACCCTGACAATCTCACCAGTGCCAAACAGAGCACAGAGGCTCAAAAATGTCTATGGGGTGAACCGCACCAAGGGGAGAGAACACATGTTGGAAATTACACCCTATCCAGCCACCTGGCCAGCTGGATCGCTTCCTGGTGTTTCCAGAATCTCCTGGAGCATTGTCCACTTGGTGAAACCAACCTAGGAATCCTCTAAATAAATTACACTTTTCACCAATTACCTTCAAGACTAAAAAAAAATCATTAGAAGTTGAAAATTATATGGCAATTGGGGTGACTTTGAAGCCGAGTAACTGCCTAAACAGCCCTTTCTGTTGAGCAAACAAGAATTTCCTGACTGCTCTGTTTGAAGTTGCCAGAGATCCATCTTGCTGCTATTAAAATGGAGTTTCACAATGGCTCTGAACCAGTTCTTCTCGTTTTCCTGAAAGAACTGACTGTCATTCAACTACAAATAAAAATCTTTTATGAAACAGCAAATGCAACCAACACCTGCCCAGTGAGCTGTGAAGCAATCACTTCTCCACGGAGGAAAAATGAAGTGGTCATCCGTCTTCTGCTCTGTAAGCATTTCCTAAGCACCTACGGCATGCAGGACGTAGGTATACACAGATGAGCTTACAGTCCAGGGAGTAGCCACACACACCAAGGAGAAGGTCAGAGGGCTGCTGGCAACAGATCATGCACAAAATCATCCAACTGTTATATCAAACAGGCTGTGGGTTGTGCCTACACACCCTTTCTACACGTCTACAGCTCTTTCTCTATGGTTAAGCGAAAGCTCTCTAAACCCCTGGATTCTGCCTTCAACAAAATCCCATTAACCAAAAAGACCAAACACACTGGGGAAAATAAAGAGGAGATGAGGGCTAGAAAGACTTAGGATTCAGAAGTACAAAATTATCTATTATCAAGCCTTTCTTGTACATAAAAATTTTAAAAAAAAATAGAAGAACTATAAAGTAAAAACCTGTCAACTCCATCATTTCTAGTAAAGACAGTGAGGCTCAGAGGTCTCAGTTCATCTATCCCTCTAAGTCCAGCTCAGAAGCCCACACTGTCTTCCATCTCTCCTACCTGCAGGAAGGACAGAAAGGACAGGGGTCAACACTGACTGCTCACTGCACGCCAGACACAGTCCTAAAGGTCTGTTGGCCGTGTCCTGTTTCCTCTCCTGACAACACTCTGTGGCAGCAGCTGTTCTGGCCACACAAGGAGAGTGCATCTCAGAGATGTTCACCCCAGCAATGCACTGCTAGGGCCTCACTGTGGTTCAACTTCAGAGACTTAACTACTCACTCGGATCTTTACAGCCCCAAAAAAGCTGGGTTTTCAGACCGAAGACCAAGAATTGAGGAAGAGGAATGAAACAAGACACCTAGACACAGCCTCGTAAGATTATCTAATGCTGAGAACAAAGAGGAAATCCTAAATGCTTCCTTAAAGGCAAAAAAAAAAAAAAAAAAAAAAAAA